GAAATTTCCCAGCCTAGATAAGAACTAATAGTCATAGACCTTGTAAATAGGTGGCCTTGGTGGAAGGTACCAGCTTAGAAACAAGTAATTCATAGAGAGAGTCATAGTGACCTGTTCCCTGAACCTTCACCCTGCTGATACACTGTTATGGAAAATATGTGTACTCCCCTTGAGAACACTTATGTTCCTGTGACATCCCCCTCCCCACATCCTGCCTTAAATGTGTTTATAACCCCTGTGTGAAAAAGTAAAATTCAGCGGTTTGATCAGACTATAGACAAGCTGCTCATTCTTTGTGTTCACCTGTTTCCACCATTCTCTTTTTTAGGTGATCTCCCCAGACCCTGTTCAATGCCCTGCTGGATGGAGCAATCTTTATCTTCATATTTTCATCATTGTGTAGCTCTTGCTTCATGGCTCTGGAGCTACCACTTGCCTTGTGTCACAGGCTGTGCTGTCCTGGTTGGGACTTTATCTTGCAAGGCTCTACTGACAAAACTTTACAGCTTTCTCTCTATGGTGCAGGGGAGCCTTTGGGAGAAGGGGGATGACAGCTGACTAAGTTTGAGATCTCAGTGAAATGTTAAGTGGGAACTATGCTAGGAATAAGAAGGGTTGAAGTGATGCTTTGAGGGGTGGGGAGGCAAGAAGCAGAGAAAGAAATGGTAGGCAAGAAGACAAGTGAGAGGACAGACAGACATGTACAGAACCTGAGAAGGAAATGAGAAAGGCAGCTTTGGAGTCTACAGGTAAAAGCCAAATGAATCAGAAGACAGAGTTTACTAGAATTTTCAGTGTAAGGCATTAGTACCACTCATGTAATCTAGGCCACAATGGGTGTGGATTTCTTCCTAAAAGTTGAAGTGAATGATTCAGGTTGGCTTTCAGTTGCCACTCAGTTAAAGTAAGCTTAGAAAGCAGATGAGCTCTCCTCTCATCACTGACAATATGGAAGAGATAAAACAAGACAGAATCATGAATAACAAAAATCCCACAATAACTGACTGGGAAGAATATCCTATCACTTATAAAGTTGGCCAGCCATTCATCCTGGCTAAAACTGAAATCAGATCTCTCATGAGAAGTAGAATTATGAAACCAGGTCTGCTGCTATTGCCATCTCAACTTAGCACAGGAGGACAACGGAAGGGTTCTCATCAGGTCTTTCCTAACCAAAACTTAATAAGGCTCCTCAAAGGAATGTGTCCTCCTCAACTCTAAGAAGGTTCCTCCTTAACTCTAAGGAAATTGCCAAGACTTCTGACCTCAGAGCCCTGAACTTCTTAGTTACTAGTAACTCTCCTCTAGAAGCTTGTCTTTCTCAATCAGAACTGAATTCCGTGTATATAGATGTATTTCCTAAGAGTGTAAGGACTTTGTCCATTATGGCATCTGGGATTATAGTGGTCATTCCAGAACTCTCCAGGCTCATTGGGAGGCATGGAACAGCCTTCACCCTAGCTGGGAAGGTCTGCAGTGAGCCTGAGTCTTGAGTGCATGGAGTTAACTCACTGGGAACTCCAAAACTGAAATAATTCATTCAAGAAAGATACAGGAGGATGAAGAGACATGAGGAAAGAGAAAGGGATTTGTGGCCAGGCTTGGGAACAAGAAGAAAGTAGCAGTCATATAAGATCTTGGGGTAGCTAGTGGAGATTGGCTGATATAGACTAGCTGATAAGGTTAGGACAGGAGATTCTGGGCCCAGCAATTGTGCTATCTGACAAATTCTAAATTAATAAAGCTATCTAAGTGTTAAAAAGTGAGGAAGATACAGACCATAACACAGATTAAGTTGTTAAGATTATATGAATCCTTTCATTTTGGCCACAGACCAAAAGCAGGTTAATGTCTCAGTCTCTTTGTGCTAAAGCTCAAGGGTACAGCATTTTAAAAGTCAAAAACTATAATGTTAGATGAGAGTCAGAATACACTAACATTTGTTTCAGCAAAACAGTTATTTCAGGCACAATATTACAATTTTCATTTATATCCTTTTCAGTTATTTTTTAGCTTATGTTGGTTTTGTATACATTATTTTGCTTAAAACATGCTCATTCAGGGTCATGAAAATTCCAAATGTGTTGCCAAGGCACACATGGCTGTTTTGGGGTAGAAGGCTAAGAACTGTCTAAGCAGACACAAAATGAGATCAAGAGTAGATGGTGTTATCCATTTCAAAAAGCATCAACAAATTAGAACTTATACATATGTAATTCAAGGTTGGTAGTTAAGTTCCATCCCAAGCAGGCAACAGAATTTGGCAACATCATCTCCATGTTTCTGGTATTAGCATCATGAAAAATATAGGAGTAAAAGAGTTGTAAAATTTTCCTCCACATTTAAGAAAACCTACACAAGCCAGGCATATGAGAGAATCACAACATGGAGGCCCTAAGAAGCAATTGCATAAATCTGTGAAAGTATACAATGGATTGTGCTGAATACTCCAAGATGTTGGAGATGCCAGAGCTATAGGACATTTGCCAGGGAAAACTACATATGGGGTGTTGAAACAGCCCAAGAGAAAGAAATACGTTGCAGTCAACAATGCTTGAAGAAATGGCATATATAAAAAACCATCAAAACCTTTGATATGAGAAACGAAATTACAAGACTTAGAGCTTACCCTGGTGAATTTTGGGCTTGTTTTATTCCAGTATTTCCTCACTATGCCACTTTTCCTTCCTTTTGGAATACTGATATGTATTCTATGCCACTGTATGCTTCATATATATATATATATATATATATATATATTTGCAGAGGGTTACAGTTAAAAGGTTGCCCTGGATCTCAGAAGAAACTTTGGATTTTAAATAGTCTTGAGACTGTGAAAGACTATAGAGACATTGAAAGTTGTATTAAATGCATTTTGTATTATGCTATGGCTACAAGTCTATGGGGGACAAGGAATGGAATATGGTGATTTGAATGAGAATAGACTCTATAGAGTTATATATTTCAATGCTTGTTCCCAAGTTGGTCAAACTGATTGTTAAGGATTAGGAATCATAGCCTTGTTGGAGGTATTTCACTGGTGGTAGGCTTTAAGGATTCAAAGTCCTACCCCATTCCAAGTCCTACTCTCTTTCCTTGGGCTTATAGATAAACTCTCGTAGATCTGCTCTCAGCTCTCTGTTTATGCTTCCTGCTTTCTTGTTACCATGCTACCCATCATGATGGTCATAGACTAACCTGCTGAAACTATAAGCAAGCCCAAAAGTAAACACTTTTTAAAAAATCTGTCTTGGTAATGGTGTTTCTTCATAGCACTAGAAAAGTAACTAAGTCAGATTCCACTGTACCCATATTACAACAGTCCCAATAGAAATGTCTAACCATAACCTGTGCTGAGAATGTGTAGAAGAATTTAAAATTCTCATAACAAGCCAAAGTTTAGAAGGCTAGTCTATCAGAATTAGGTATTGTGTCCATATGATGTAGATAGAACTGAACAGAAGAAACTGGGTTCTGGGCACTCCATCTTGTTCATCAGTGTAGAATCTCAAGTTTCCTAGCAACCAAGTATCCTCAGGAAAACAATCACTGATTCTGGGACAGTGGACTCAGAGCCAGGAGATACTATGGGAGACCAGAGATTTCCAGAAAAACAGCCTGGTTGGGTACCCAGGTACAAGGATCAGATACCTGTCAAGTGTATCTTGAACCACAAGAAGGAACAACTGAGATACTCTTCTTTCCTGAAGGGCCATCGCCGCTTTTTTTCTAAGGAAGAGGTGGATGAACTCAGGAGAGAATGTTTGTCAAATGGAAGCATTTTCCCAAGAATTTCTCAAAATGTGTACAGTGTTGCCACCAATGAGAGTTGGAGAAAGCTACCCGGGAATGCAGGGTTCTTTAACTCAGTTTCATCAACTCAGCAAAAAGGTAGAGAGTGCCAATACCAGATGAATCCATGTTCTCAGATAAAAGATGATTCAGACCTCTTTGGAAATTGTCTGCAAGTGCCAAAGCATGAGGAGAATCTGAATAGCAAGTGGCCTCACTGGGAAAATCAAAAGTAAGGAAGTCAGAAGCATAACAAGCATGGGAATGTCTCTTATAAAAAATACAACCGTGGAGATCCCAAGAATTCTAGGTCACTTCAAGGCAATTGGCTATCTTTAAACACACCCATCAATCAGGATTTGCTTGACTCTGTTTGTTATAGATACATAAGAAAAGGAGCTGATGGTATCTGTGAATGGAATGAGCCTTTTGGAGACTTGACCATGATGGGAACATTTGACATGGGTTATGCATGCCAAGGTAGTGAAGAGTCTTCATTCAAGAATATTGGTTACCTTCCATCTGACCTTATTCCACCCAAACCAGTGGATTTCGTGACAGACATTGGACTCTGTAAACAAGAAACACCAATTGATATGAAACTTGCAAAATCACGCAAAACTTTTAAGCCCACTTTGAAGAAGATTACATATGGGCCAGGACACCAGAAACCTAAACATTCCAAAACCATAGGAAATCAAGAACCAGTGCCTAGGCCTAAGACAAGGCTTGAAATTCAAGGTAAAAGCTTTTGCAGATCAAATTTCCTTGAAGATCTCAATGAAACAATCAATTTTCAGGATTTCATGGTACACAAGGGCTACAGCATGCCAAGCATGATTAACAAGGTTATTATGACAAGAGAATCAGATTATGACTCTGCTAGGACACTTGTACCAGGAGTGTTAAACAATTACAAAATGAAGAAACAAGGTAAATATGAAGAGGGTGAGAATGGTGGAAAGGAACTTGACTAAAATATTTTCCTATCACCATCTACTTGAATGTGTCCTCCGCTCATTTTGCATTTGAGATGCATTGAGTGGATGCCCTTTGACACCACACTTATAAACTTGACTCCTAATATTCGAGAAATTTTTCTCAATGGCGTTATGTTTTGCCTTGAAGAATATTTTTGATATTCTATAAAGTGTGAGAACAATGTTAGAATTTAAATTCCTCACATAGTCTTTCCTTGACACTGTTGACATGGACTATGCTAACCAACCAACTTATGATGAATCCTCAGACAAAGTAAACAGTCATATTCCTTCTAAGCTTAAGTACTTCAGAGGATTAACCGAAGAAAAAGGAGTTAAATTCACCAAACAGATACCAAAACTTGAGATGGAAGTCCAAACGCCACATGATCTTTCTATGTCCACCAAGGAGGAGTTTAAATATGGACCATCATACCAGAAACTGAAGCAATTGAAAACACAGGCCGTAAAAGAGCCTTTAAATGGCCCCAAGGACTTGCTTGATATTGAAGGTAAAAGAGTTTGCAAACCAGACACACTTGAAAATCTCTATGGTGCAATTGCCTTTAAGGATTTCATTGTACAGAAGGGCTATAATATGCCAGGAATACTCCAGAAGTTTTTTATGAAAAAGGGATGGAATTATGACTCTGTTAGTACTCCTATACCAAGTGTATTAAAAAAATATGAAACGATTCTGCAAAAAATGGATGATGACGATTATGAAAATGACGGAAAGGAACTTGATTAAAAGATTTTCTTATTACCACCTTACTTGACTGTGTCCTCTGCTCATTTTGCATTTGAGATGCATTGAGTGAACACTCTCTTTGGCACCACAACCACAAATGTAATTCCTAACATTCAGAAATATTTCTCAATGAACTTATACTCTGCCCTCAAGAATATTTTTGATATTCTATTCAGTGAGAGAACAATGTTAGAATTTAATTTCCTCACATAGTCTTTCCTTGACACTGTTATAACAATCATTTGTAAAAGTATGTAAAACCATTCATTAAAAATAGAAAGACTCTGATAAAAAAGACTCAGTGGTGTCATTTTACAAAATGGGTAAATCTCAAAATACTGTAATTGTACTGAACAAAAGGAGATGTGCATAATTTCCTATAAATTTAAATAGTAATGAAGTAATTGCATAAATCATTTTTTTATCATCCAGCATTGAATTGTGTAGGTAAGATGATGGGCAGCTATTTTCCTTTCTTGCATATCACAGCCTTGATTCTTCCCATATAGTAAATTCAATGTCAGGTACACTTTAGTGCTTACAATGTCAATTTTTCTGTTATGTGTGAAGCACATCTTCAAAGAAATGCACATTGTCTTTCATTCTATTTACATGCATATGCTGATAATGTATTTGATATTTTCAAGAATAAACCTCTATCTCACACAGAGTCTGCAGGTATCCAGTGCAATCACCTTTGGTACCTTTTACTCTTTGGTTCCTTTTGTGCAGAAAGTGTTATGGTGAATGTGCTCACTTGCCTTTCTTTGCATTTAGACTGAACTTGTGATGTGAAAGCCAATAATATAGTTGTCATTTGAATTGCATATAGTTTCTGCCAGTGTGCTTTTCTTTTCCTTTATATTCATTCTGTTTCTTTCCTGTCTAGTAATGAGGTTATGATTTAAGTTTGGTTTAACACTTGCATTTGAGTCTAATCCATGTTTATTTTATTTTTTCTAAAAGGGCATCATGTTTTATAACTACAACATAAAAATTAATAAGTGAGAAGCAAGAATATATTTGGTGAAGGACTTAAGAGACAGTGAACATTTTAAAGCAAGAAGTTTACTTAGATTCTCCAGTCTTTCCCTCAGATTTAACAAATACAATTTCTACTTTCATCTCTTCCCATTAAACACCTTATGACATTGTTCCAATCAATGCCGATCCATGAACGGTGATTTCTTAAAGTTCTTCTCCAAATTGAAAAGAAAGAGGTGGGAGTTTCTTTTTTAGATTATATATATATATTTTTAATTGAGAAAATATTTTGCTCACAATATAGTTTGATCATATTCTTCCCTGTCACCAAACTCCCCTATGCTCTTTCCATAGGACAGCTGCTACCAGAAAAATCAACAATAGTTGGTCTACATGAACCAAATCACAGAGATGTTGATTTTAAGGGTAAATTGCCAGCAAAATGCCTGTAGTATGTTCATCCTATCATGAAAGCCTGGCTTGTGGTTATGAAGCATGCTGAGTTGCCAATTCTTTGTATAGTTTGATTCCTACCTACTGTGCCTTTGTACCATGTTTTGTTTACATTGATCTTACATATAATAGAGCTTCCATTTTTTGTAGACTGGAATCTCTTCAATTACCTTCCACATTCCTCAGTAATCCACAGAATTGGAGTCATATATTCCCTGGCAGTCAGTGAATGTCAGGCCAGAGGAAAGATAAGTAATCATCTTAATGTTTAGTTGTTAAGGGTTTAAATTTGACAGGAGGATGTAAATAACTATTTTATAATAAGCCACACCAATACATGGTACACTGAATACTACTCTATTTCCACGAACAAACACAAAGTCAGCCTCACCAACTATTGAATTTTTCACAATACAACACAAAACAGCACCACAAATCTTTATTAGACATGCGTCCAATTCACCAAAAAAATTAAGGGATCTTTATGCGATATAACATAATTTATATCCTATTATTACTATGAGTATATTGTATATAATCATATAAATTATGTGATATGTGTTACATATCACATATATGATTATATGTAACATAATCATGTAATATAATTGTATTATATATAAAATATATTATGCAATATAAATCTTATAAGCTTAAAATGAGACAGTTGAACATCATGCTTTGCTAAGAACACCCAAAGAAAAAGTTGTGTAAAAATCGAAAAAAAAGATTGACATACCTAACTTAATAAGTCAGGTAGCATAACTAAATTCCATGGGCCTCAAGATTACAGGTTTTTTTTTTTGTTGTTTTTTGTTTTTTTTTTACAGACATAAGACAAGAATCCACAAACTTAAAAAGCTACGCATGAGGGTAGAAAGATACCTCAGTGGTTAATAGCACTAGGTGCTTTTAAGTGAGGGCTGAGGTAGATTGCTAGAACCCACACCAGACAACTCACAATTACCTGTAACTCCAGTTCCAGAAGATCCAGTATGCTCTCATGGACTCACAAGGCACTTGTGGCCAACATGGTTCACATACATAGACTTGACCAAACATGCATGAATGTAAAATAAATATTTTTAAAAGGCTATATAGGATAACAGGAGAATTTCTACAGAAATATATATAAACTACATTTAGAAATTTTATTGCTTTCTC